TGCCATCAAGGCGTTGCAATGCGGCCTTGGCAAGGTTCCGGTCGAAGGTAGAGGCATCCAAGCGAAGTCCTCTCTCGTGAGCGGGTCAAGCTCCTCAAGTCTTGACCACGCCGTCGAGTCCTCGGAAATCAGTGGCGAACTGACCGGATCATTTGCCGACGGTGTACAGGCTGCGCATATGCTAGCTAAATGCACGTGGCTTGGCTGGTCTAATGGTGGTACCAGCTGGGCGGCATAATCCTCGTACGTAGCACGAGGATCAGCAACTAACGCATGCTCCCCGGTAGTGACATCGATTGCTAGCAAGGCAACCGGGTCCGACGGAGTGAGGAGAGACGTCGCCCCTCTCCTTGCGTAACTCAGTTTCCCGAGTTTGCTGGACGGAGTACGCGTGCCTTGCCCTTTTCAGGGCATTGTGCAGTCAAGTGTGTGACTCCATTGCACCAAAGGCAATATCTATACTTTTGACGAAGTTCATAGACTTCCTTGGTGATGTTGTAGGCCGTCCATGGCTGCTGCCCAGTTCCCGTCGATGCCGTCTCTTGTGTCGCCTTGGGTTTCCGGACCCTCTTGGGACGCTTCGGCGGGAGCGCTGCTACAATTCCTCCATCACTCGAGGATGCTGCTGCAGCGTGGAGATCGTCTGTTTCTTCCGAAATCACGGCATTGTTATGTGCCAGACGTTGATAGCCCTGCTTGGCCACATAATGTGGCTGGGAGTGTTTCTCGTAGCGGCCTTGTCGTCCGTTTGGATGACCAGGTTTGCGCGATCCAGGATAGCCTGGAACGAGGTATAGTCGTACTCGTTACCGAGTGCCGACCGCAATCCTGCGCACGATCGCGAGAAGAACTCGGATCGTCGATTTGGAAAGCTCAAATCGAAGCCTGGCGTGGTCACTATCTTCTGCCACTTGGTTGTCCAGTCTCGAGTTGGCATACTCCCTTGAGAGCAGGTGTACACCTCGTTCATGGCTGCCTTCATGACGTTGTGGACCATGAACCGGGTGAACCATAGTTTCTCGAAATCCTTCCACGTAATGTGCGTGTGAAGTTCGGCGATGGTGCATGTATGGGTAGCCGCCAGATGGTTCATCCATGCCTGCGCTCCTCCAATCAGCTGTAAGTATAACGCCTTCATCAGATAGTCGTCCGGGACAGTGCGGTAGGATGCTTCCGTGAGGAAACGTTGCCACCATGCCAAAGCGTCCGTCTTGTTGTGGTCGTCGAACTTGCTGATGTCGAAGTGCGGCATCTTGTAGTTCTTCGTAGTGGCGTCCGGTTTCGTCTGCAGCTTGGTGATGTCCGTCTTGATGGTGGCCACCGTGCTACTGATCGTGTCCGGCCCATTGAAAACACCTATGTCGCCGATGAGATTGACGACATGATCGATGCGC